TCAATACTGTGACACAACGTGCATCAAGTAACATGGAACCAGAGGAGATTTATGACTACTTTATGCTCCTCCTCTCGTAGTGATTAGTTTTTACAATCAGCAGATGCAAATTGGAATTTGCTGACAGCCCATCAGTCACATCCTAGCTGCAATGTGTTGAGTGTCTCGGCATGTGCCAGTAGACATACGGTCAGTTTGCTCTCAGACCCTCAGATATTTCTCTGCACCACAACACATCAAGCGCTTTAAATTTTCGTCAAGTAAGAGAGCGCATTTGTCTCAGGGGCCTCTGACTCTGTTCCTTTCAGCTGTCTCTTTGTTTTAAAATTAATTTTAAGCTATTCCAGGCGCTGCAAATCTTAGGATTTGTATCACATGACTCATGACATGTGGTCAAAATGTATTTCTAATTTGAGGTTTATGGCAAAAGTATGATACCTAGATGGGACATAAAGTTATTGCAGTGGCACAAGGACAAAAATAAATACAGATACACAGAAAATTTGTATACTACACACAAGCAATTCAAATACAAGGCAACAGTGTGATTATTAGTAGCAAAGTCAGCAACAGCATAGGCTACATCAGAATAATAAATAATGTGATTAAGAATAATTTGTCTTCATTAATATAATAGAAATATAATATAGTATATAATGTATAACAAAAAATAAAACAGAATAACAAAATATATAGTATAGTATGTAACATAGAATACAGAGAGTATATTATATTAAATAATACATAATAAATATAGTATAATAAATAACAAAATAAATAAATAAGTCCAACTGCGAGACATTGGAGTGGGAGGGTAGTTTGAGTGTCCCGAGTGTGCCAGACTCTGTGGAAAAAACAAATCAGAGCCTATATTTGTTTACATTTTTTCAATTCTTTTTGTATTTTGCATCCTTTACTGTAAAAACACGAGTTAAGTGAGTAAAATAATAATTCTAATAAAATAGTTCTGAAGAAACAATCTGCCATTATTCACCACAGTTACTGTGGTTGTAGTTGTGCAACTGAAATTACCTTATTTGTTATGCTTGACAGCAATTATTTCAGAAAGTGATTGATAATATGGACTGCAAAATTAGTTTTTCATCAGCTCACACTGTGGCAGCACATTGTATAAAAACAATTTCACAGATACATTTTTTTTTTACTTTCTTTATCATGATGATGGTGATGATGGATTTTAAATAAAATCTATAATGGTTTTTGGTGTGAAAAAACTGGTAACATTTTATTTTATTATGTAAGTGTAAACCCACACTGCTTGAAGGAGAGAGCAGTAAAAAAAAACAACACTCAGTAAAACTGTAACAGCAAGTCTTTAATCTTCTAGACCACCATTTTTGAGTATGTATGTTCACACTAGAAAAGCAACAAAATTAGTTTTTAAAACTTCTCTTTAGTCAGGGAAGTTTCACCAAAACAGTCAGGCTCTCATTTGCAGTGTCAGATTCACACCTGGAAGCAGCCACTAAAACCCCACAGTGTGACTTGAATCCATCCATTATCTATACCCGGTTCCCAGATGACATTGGGCGAAAGGCGGGGTACACCCTGGACAGGCCGCCATTGTGGCTTAAGTCATGTATTCTAAAAACACCAGATTTTTGAGTGAAGTGTTGATTTACATTATTGTACCACAAGTGAAATGGGAGAGCTCCACACAGTTGCAAAAATATCTAATGAAATAAACTAGGAACATAAACTAACTACATTTTCTGTACAAAACAGTAAAGTGTGTAAAACCATATTTATGCTAAACATAGTTGTGGTATATTTTAGACTTTTTCTTGTAAATTACTGAATAAATTTAATTCTTCATGACTAATTATTATTCTACTAAAACAACTGAACTGCCAGCCATGCTGCAACCACTGCCAGTATAATAAGTCCAAAAGCAGTATGATCATTTTTAAATATACAATTAGAATTGTACAATTACTGACTGTTTGACAGATTACTGTAGCCACAGGCTGTCCCAGATGTTTTACAGTTGTGACAGAAGATGAAGCCTTTCACCAAAAACTGAGGCCTGTTGGATGTGCTTCTGCCAGCCAGGCCTTGTTATTGAGTGATGCAGTGTGAAGTGTGAGTGTCCTCTCTGAGGTGTATAATCTGATGTGGAAGAGTCATAGGAAAGGAGGGTAATGAGTGAGAAAAGGACAAAAGAGGAAATAATTGTGCTTAATTATTAGAAATCCCTTGTTTTGTGTGCACAAACTGTACACACACACACACACAGCCTCACACAGCTCCCGCCTAACTCCTCAAGCCTTGGTTCACTGAGTTCATTGTGTTTAGCAGTCTGGAGAGGTGATGCAGTCTCTCCTCTCTCTCACCAAATCATTCCCCTGTACTCAATACAACAGAGTGTGATTAATTTGTATGGCTGGCAGCTATAAAGGGTCCAAATAAGTTGTTATCACTGGTCCCAGGGGGTGTCTCTCTTTGGTGTACTTCAAAACAGATCACACTGCCATTTCCCTCGCAAAGTCCTCGCAGAATGTGCCCACATATATTTAATGCTATCCACAACTCAAGGAGCTAAACGTAATTTGTGGGTGGCGTTGGCAACACCAGCAATTCCTATCTTTGATTGAGGAAGTAATCAGTGGTGGTGGCGAAGTTCAGTCATTTAATATTCTGATCAGTCTCTGTCTTTACATAGAAATCTGTCTGTTGCCAGCTAATAGCAGCTTCGCAGTAGAAAGGGGAGAATGTGTGGTCATTATTTTTAAGGAGCCTGTTTCAGTCTGACAGCATTGAAGTAAAGCGGGAACACCCTCTTCTGGATCTCTGGAGAGTTACTGTTGTGATTTCCCTCATAACAAACCAGTCACAGCAGCAGCTCAACAATCAATCACAGTATCGAACCATGCATTTTTTAAAAAGGGTTTGTATTCCTTGCTAAATCTCTCAATTACACACCAACAGGGTTCAGAGTTACAGAGAAGTTACTGGCTGCTGCACGCAAACTGCAGCATGCTTATGTTTTGAATACGGGTATAGTTATTTAATACATTTAATACAATATTCAGTAAAAGCGTTTGCATTCTTAATTCCTCAAATTTAATGGCTAAAGTCAATTTTAGTCATAAGAGCTCCATTTACCTCACAAATAAATCATTTCATAATTCATCACCTGTCCAATAAAGACAATTGAAGGTTTATGGCGCAATTAGGCAGAAGCAGAGGAGGCTGGCCATGACATCCGTCATAATTACTGACAGTGGTCCTTTAATGACAATGATTAACATGCCAGAGGAGGAGAAAGAGATTTAAGGTAATATGCATGAGAATTAGATTTCTTTGTTATCAAGTCAACATGTAGGCCTTAAGGTTTCACAGTATAACTTAATGTTGCATAGAGCAGATTCAATCTATCACAGCTGATTTTTTTGTAACAACAATAATAATAATAATAATAATAATAAGTATTTATATAATCTATTTTTTTAAATAGTCGCCAGAAATGCTAACATGCTATGCGTCTCCCTTGATACTGTAGCAGAAAGACCAGACTCCATCTCAGAAAACAGCTCCTTAATGCAGTTAGCCTACTGTCATTTATTATGATCATGTTAATGAGTTGGACATTTTGATATGAATAACGATTATAGGCTACTCAGTGTGCCAACTGTTCCATGACTTCAGGGGAGCTCGCTTTTTCAAGTGGGGTGGGGGAGGTTAAGTTAAGGATGTTGGGCCGAAACTTGCCAAAGGGGGTCCATTAAGATCCGGCGATGATAGAGGTGGTTTTCAATCAACCTATTGCGGGCCTTGCTGTCAGAATCATTAACGGCAGAAACCCCCTCTCACACTCAGATGAAGTGAAAAGGTGTGTCCTGCTTGTTGTACGAAGTTTTCCCAGCCTTGGTGCTTTATCTTCAATGAATCTTGGCGATTCGGCGGACAGACTTAGACTAGATATTCCCCCCCTGATCTCTGAGTTAAAGTGAGTTAAGTTTATGCTTTTGCACCGCCAGGCTTAGATGGTGTTGACAAGAATATCAGAATTTAGAATAAAGTGAATTAGTGAGGAGCAAGGCAGGCATGCATTAGTGAGGAGTTATGTATCAGTCATACGTCAATAACCTAATTTTACGCATGATCCATGATGATGCAGACACAGATAGGCCTAACGGGGGAAAAATAAAAATGCATGGCAAAATAGCGTATTGTCAATATTTTAGAGACCCCATGTTTTTAGGGAAGCTTATGTCTTATTAAGAGGAGCCAAGCTCCTCCTGTAGCCCCCATCCTGATTATGCTGATGTGCTTTTAGTTCTCCATTACTTTAATGAAGCGTTGCAGTACCTCACTATGACCGCTGGGTGGCATTCATGACTCTAAATGCTCTCATGTCAAAAATCTTACCTCATAGGAATAATCAACATAGCTGTATTATTTCCACTGAATACATTTCAAAATGTTTCCAAAAGAAGATGAAGATACTTTTTTATTGTCAGATACACATACATGTTGCAAAATTCTCTGCATTTAACCCATCCCTCAAGGGAGCAGTGGGCAGCCGCTGTGCAGCGCTCGGAAAATGAATAAGATGATGATAAATAACAAATAAATACACAAACATATTCTTAATTTATTTCTAATTAACTAGTTATTTAGTCTATTTATTTATTTATTATTTTGTGGAGGGAGGTTTAGCAAAATGCATTGCTCCTATTTATTTCCTCATTTATCTTAGTTTAGTTTTAAGCTCCCATACCTTACCAGAAGATATAAATCATGCCTATTTTAGGGTGAATATATATTATAGATGTTTTATGAAATGTAGATGATGTTCTTTCCAATAATTAAAAAGAAATTCACATGAATCTGATACTCCACAAATACTGACACAATCCTGTAGAAAAGTAAAGCCTCCCACACACTAACATGACTTCTTTGTGCTGAAACATGTTTGGTGGACAGTAGATGGCAGCAACAATGCCAGCAAGCCTTTTTAGAGTCTCTCTGACTAGGAATCCAGAAGAACAAGAAGGAGGAGGAGGAAGAAAAAGTTTAAAAAGGGTGTGTTGCTGCTCCTGGAGTGACTGAGCCAACTACAGGACACAGTTTCACATGTTCAGAGTTGCCTTTGGATGAGAATCAAACCAGCTTCACTACATTGTTCAGGTTTGTACTTGGTCTCTTTGCTATGTGAAAAGTTTTAATGTATGGTGGATGCTTAGCTGGTTAACTAAAGGCATGTCTTATGTTACAGTCACTGCTCCTTTGAATCCGGCAAGCATCTGCAAGTTGTTAGATGAACCTTTTACTCAGTTTCACTTGTGTCTTCAGTCTGATCAGATGCTTGTGAAGATGCAGAGCAGCAGCACCAGCAGCAGTGGGACTGATTTTCAGCAGCTGAGGGAAAGGTGGACCACCCTGTTGAACCGCATTTATGAAGACCCCAGGGTAAGAATAAACTGAACACCTTCATGTGTTAAAAAAAATTCTTCAGCCCTTTTTTCTGTTTTGTGTACATGTTTGCTTTTCCATCCGCAGATCTGAGAGGGACAGGACTGCATTGACTCCCAGTTAAGTGACAATAACAGCTGTCTCTTGTCTTTTTCTCTTGAACAGGTAGCACAGCTGATGAATACAAGAATCGGCCAGTACCTCAGCAGCCACCCTTTCATAGCTCTGACAGTGTTACTGTTCAGCGCCATGGCTGCACTGCCTGTCGGGCTCTTTATCACTTTTGCTCTTGTGACCCTTATTATGTCAGGACTGGGTTTTGTTTTCTTTGAGGGTATGTGTAATATCAGAATCAGTTTTCTTGATACTGCACCATTACAAGCCTCATCGGACAGTATTTTTATTTATGTATTTATACCAACAACCTGTTATTTCTGTCTGTGTCTGTCAGTGTTCCTGTTGTCTGTAGGAGGCATGACTCTGCTGTGTGTGCTCTCCGGCATCGCTATCTTCTCCTTCATGGTTTCACTCATCTTGGAGGCATTACATATCACCATCTCCAAAATCCTCAAACTCTATTACCCGCATCTGACGAAGGTAATGCACTGTAGAAGAGTTCTTTTATTGTTTTTTTTCACCAAAGTTTTGACTTTTTCAAGTCAAGTTCACGTCTTAAATATACAAAGAATCTTTATTAATCAAAACTAATATGTCAGCAGTCAGTGGAAAAGTACATTTGAGTGTATTTATATTTAAGTCTGTACCTGACACTTTGGTCAGTGAGTCTTTAGAGTTTAATGTGCGGACAACCTCTCTTCACATTACATGCTGTGACACTTTGAGGAGCTGTTAAATGTTTACAAATTGCATTTATTTTCGTATCCCTCCTTTTTATTCTTACCAGCGAGGTCAAGTCCAGGAAAAGGAGAGTGAGGGTGAAACTTCAAAACCAAAGGAAATGGAGTAGCTTCAAATCTTCTTCTCTCCCGTTTGTCAGCTTTCATGTGGAGAAGCTCAAATTCCTTTTAAAAAGCATTACTGATGCTTGATGGTGGGATTTAGAGGCCCTTGAGCATACTGCATGGTCCTTTGAGTCTGGGATCTGCAAATGTAACAGATGCGCTAAGCACAAATACTCCTTGATTGTTGCTGTTTGTCTAAAGCTTAAATATTGGTACTGAATATTTTTTTGTTATTATCAATATATATGGTGCAATACGGTTGAAATGTCTATAACTGCCAAAGAAAGGTTTAATGTTTATGTTTGCTTTAACCTTTAAAAGAGCACAATGTTGAATAAATGCACGTCAGAGTTAATGTTTGTACTGTTCTTCTGATGGAGAAATGTCTTGGCTTTAAAATAAAAACTGATCTGATCAAACAATGTGTTCTTGGTGCAAACTGTTATCTGGTGAAAATGCAGTCATCCTTTGTGTTTAGCTTAATGTATTACACCTACTTTATCAACTAGATAGATATAACTAGAGAACATCCCATGTATTATAAGGAACATCAGATGAGTTTGGGAAAAGAACGGTCTATCCACAGTATGTATTTAGATTGTGAGTAGCAAGAAATTATCTTTATTTGACTAAATTAAGTTTACTAAGCATGCAACATGCAGAATTTTTGAAGGAGCACTAACCCTAACCAAAAGGTTTCCTTGTAGACAAAAACACGTTTTCATTTAGTGTTGCTCAACCAAAACAAACATGTTGAATACATGTCCTTCCTTATGAAACATTTGCAAATGCGATTTTTAAAATTATTTATAACCTGGTGTTGTTTACATACAGGTTTCCTTGCTAGCAGTGTTCGTCCCTGCCTTTTGGGATGTATGCGTCTCATCTGCGCATGCATTTCAATAATCAAACAGGAACACTGGAAGGTGATCTCATAAAATCTTTAATGGAGGTGATAACATGCAAAAAAAAATGACAGAGTTGAAATAATCCTTTAGGAATTACTAATTTGAAAGAGTTGGAAGTTAACAAGAGGCCTCTAAATTTAATAGAAATGCACCCACGATCACCCCCTACTCAAATACTGATCAGCACAATGTCAAATCGGTTTAACTGTTCACACTCCAGACATGCACTTAACAATTGAAATGCCACAACCAGTCAAAGCATTGGAGGATTCTTGTGCCAAACACCTGCACAAGTCTCCCCGATATGAGAAGTGTGATCATAATGCCACTCACTCAGTCATTCATTATTGCTTTGCTCTGACTTCATCGATTTCAACTTTCAGACAACTGACAAGTCTCTGCTGGAAGGTGTTCATGAGCTTGTTGGTTTGGGGTGCGATGATAGATTTATGCTCTATCTACATCCCAAAAAAATGTGACGTATAAACCACTGTCGTTAAGATTTTTTGAAATCCATATTAAAGCTATAGAACAATTGATGCATTTTAATTTTTTTTTTTATGCAGTAAGCTGAGGAGAAAAAAAAAAAGACAGAAAATAAACACATTAAAAGTTTCATTTCAAATAAGATGACCACTATTTTAAAATACGGACATCTACGATAAAAAAAATTGCTGGCACCAAAGTAATTTATTCCATGGGTTACTTCTTAAACTTAAGGTAAAACTACAAATCCTCCTATGACTTCTGCTTACAAAAAAGTTTCGATTTTTAGATGAGTAGAGTAACCAGTTAAAATGCGGTTTTAAACAATTTTAGAAAGCAAAGATGTTTTTTTTACAAAATGTGTTGGCATGAAACTTGTTATTGGCCTCTTTAAATGTTTCCAAGAGAGATTACATGTATTACTGTATATCTATCTAGACAAAAAAAAATGTTTTAAATCCAAAAGTAAAAAAAGAAAAAAAAATACTGTGAGAAACCAGACATAATCCGCCTCAGGCACTCAGATCCATTACTCTTTAATAAGACTGTACATTTGTGCATTTCATTACCAAGCCAAACAAGGTTCTTCCTCAGAGTTGACCCTATTTGTGACATTATAAAAAAAAAACTAAAAAATAAGCGTATACACCTCACATGTAGAAACAAAAAGCCTTTTCTCCTATTTGAACAGCAATGAAAAGAAGTTTAAGGCAAGATGCTGAACACGGAAATCCAAATGTTGACCTGGGATGATCTTTGTCCAGCTCTGGTGTTTGTTGGCATTTACCAGTTCCATCAGCAATCCTCAAGAAGACTAGTGTCCCCCCCACCCCACCCCGACAGTTGTCTCTCTGTCTCAGGCATCTTTTGCTGTAGGTCACGAGATTCCATGTCATCATCTCCGCACCCCCTGAGTCTGCTGGGAGTCGCTGTCTCCTGTATGTTTTACGCTGGCAGGCTCAGCTTCTTGCCTTTCAACACTGAGGGGTGAGATATAAAGCGAGACGGTCAGCAAGTAAGAACCATCACTGGGCTGATTCATGCTGCCATAGATTACCTAAATCACTTTGTTTTGATAGTTTGAAAATGCCGGTTTCCATTTTCAGGGAATCTTCAGAAGTAACAACTATTTAATTTAAAAACTAATGGTTTTAAATTAAATACTTAAAATAAAATAAAATATGGGAAATATGGAGCCCCAGGAAACATCATGCACATCCTGTTTGCATTTTCACTGCAGCTAAAGGACTGTGAAGATTAAGCAAATTAGACTGATTACAGAAAAATGCGTTTCAGACATATTTTCACACAGAAGAAATTATACAGTGATGTGTCATTCTTCGTAATTCGGTGTCGTGTTTGAATAGATGCATAAAGGGACACTAAAACTCCACGACTGTCTCCTAAATAGACAATCTGCTGAGTGTATTAACACGTATCTATTCCTGCCACACTGAAAGTTTCGTTTCTCACGGTCCCTCGTTTTTTCTCCCTCATTTGCACTCCATCTTTCTTTCTTTCATTTTTTCAGTCAGAAAGCCAAATACTTCACTGCTCATGCAACATTTTTAACATCTGTAAACATTATAATAATTACTCCCTTCCTCATCTTAACACTGATGCTTGTGGCACACTAGTAGTGTGTGAATTAAGCTCAAAACAAGTACAGTACAACCATCAGAATTTAAAACTCACACAGACTTTCTGGGAGCCAGGAGAAACTATGGAAGAGGACCTGAACTTAGACTTTTTTCAGTGGAAATGCAAGTAAGATTCCTGTGTTCCTAAAAAGGTCCAAAGATACATTTCCTCAACTAGATGTTGGCCCCAATAAAACTACTGTATTGAAGTTACTGTACAGAAATGCAACTGTGAGAAGCTGGTGTCAAAAATCCACAGTCCTGGTTTCCTGAGATTAAATTATTCTTCAAGTTCAGCTGATGCTAATATGCTGCGTCAGCAGTCTGCCGTTGCCAAATTTACAGAGAACTTCCAAATTTACAGTCTTTTTAGTACAAAATTCCCTTTGTGCGTTTCCTGGGACAGTGTTTCCTTGTCAAGCTACAGTAGAGGGACAGTAATACAAAGGGGGAGTTTTGTACACAAAAGACCGTGACTTTGGAAAATAACAACTTCATTCATGAAAATCACACTCCTAAAGCCTCATATTAGCTCCAGCTGAACTTTGAGAATCAGGTTTTGTTGGAAACAAGGACCGTGCGTCTTGTCTCCCCATCTCTTACATCAAGGTTATTCTAGGATGGGGTCGCTCCAGGGCCAGTGTGGACGGGAGGATTATACACACACAGACATGTGAGTGATGTATCAAGATGGACTAATAATAATTACCACTATATAAATCATTTTGTTCCCCATGTATTTCCTGGTATTTCATCTCTTATTTCCTTATTTTATGTATTTAATTTGGTGCTCACTGTAATGAGATACCAGTAGGAAACCCACCTTTGGTGACATAAAGGTAGAAGAAGTCACAGTAGAGGATAGTCTGGACCACACCGGCCACAATGGCAATCATGTCAAAGAAGCCTTCAAAGTAGAAACGCCAGATCCAGTTGAAAAGATAGAGGGCCCGATACAGGCCCAGGCAGAACAAGTAGTGGGTGGTGATGGTCTCTGCCTCGCCAGTCTTGCTGATCATGAAGAGCTGAGGCAGGATTGCCACCGACTCCAGGTAGATGGAGAACGTCCACAGGATCTAAAGACAGACACATTTAAACTTAAATGTGCAGGATTAAAAAATTTTTTTTTAACAAAATACAGAACAGGACTCTCAGCTCCTTTATCAATGAATTATGTCAAGCTTTGACAACAATACAGGAGGTTGAACCCACCTCTAGGAAAGAAAAGTCGTGGTTGATGAGAACGGCAAGACCCCCGACAGGAACAACCAGGAACTCCACTCTGAAACTGTCATGGTTGCCATCGTAGGTGGCCCTGAACTTCACATAGATCAGGTAGACTGTGGCATATGCACAACCGATGTAGATCACCTGGTAAAACAACACAGAACAGCCTGTCATTGAAGGGGCTGAGGAGAAATATGGTACCTACAGGAAAAAGCTGCTGGTCAGAGCTGAGACACGACTAGTGTCTTACCTTCATGCACGTGTTATAGAGGGAGATGAAGGAGCTGAGCAGATCCAAGTAGCGTGTGGTGAACACTATAGCAAACAGGATTTGGCTTTTTCCAGAGATACCTTTAACAAAAATACCAAGCAGATTTCCCATTTAGTTTGAGGTATAGCAAAAGCCATCAGGCAACTTCACAGCGGCTTCTCAAGTAGTCTGGATGAAACATAACTATTCCTTTTTAAACAGTGACATCTACTGGAAACATGAATAAAATGTATCTGGAAAATCAGCAATGTCAGAGGTTGATCACAAAATAAAATTGCACGTATTGTGTGTCCCTAATTTACAGTCAATCTTCCTTCTTTAAGTAACGCTATCTTAGTGAAAAAGCACAAATGGATGACCTCTCAGGCTGGCAAACAATAGAGCATCTCAGGTGCGTAGATTTAGTTTCTGTTTTTAAACAGTACATCAGACATCGCACAGCATCATGAGAGAACAAGAAGTGTGTACAGGTTTCTTTCTGCGTCTGTATGCCCTTTTGACCTGACCTAATTTCAGTAATGTTTTCATTAATTGAGTGGACATATGATCATCCAAACAGAGCCTATTACAACATTATTTTGGTTGAAGGATGATTACAGGAAGAGATAGACCTTCTTTCCACATCTTTCCTTGACCTTTACCAAACCTTGTAAAACTTAAAAAGTGTCATACAGATCCACATAGGGCGGCAGAGTGGTGCTGTGGTTAGCACTGACGCCTTAGCAAAGAGGTCCTTGGTTTGAACCCGAAGGCTTTTCTGTTTGGAGTTGTATGTTCTTTTTCTTTTGTCTGTGTGGGTTTCCTTCCGGTGGTCTGGTTTCCTCCCACAGCCTAAAAACATGCAGGTTAGGTAAACTGGAAACTCCAAACTGCTCGTAGGAGCGAGTCTTGGCCTGATGAATTGTTGCCTGTCTGTACTTAATTTATCTTAGAATAAGCCTGTCCTGGTCCTCTAGGAGAGGTAGTCTTTTCTCCATCTATCTTTATACCTGCACTAAAACCGCGTGTTGACCTGCAATAACTGCTTCATGCTCTCTTAGCATCTCTGTCTCGCCTCTCCTTTGCATCAAACACAATACATGCCCCCTTTCCCATGTGAATATTTGTCAGTTTTGTCTGTATGTATAGTATGTCTTCCTCCCAGGGTTTCATGGCACAGAGGGTCTCTGGGTTTTGGGGTCCTACCAGTGCTTGGCAGCACTTTGACGTTGCTCGATATCTTCTCTGATCCATATTCTTCATACGTGTTTGCTCTTTATTGACCCAATATTGTTATTCTGGTTCTTTATAGCCTAATGTCTATCTAGTCTATATGTAGACGGATCCCTCCTATGTGTTTTTTCTTCTTTACAATACAATCTTTACAATTGACTTGTCCACATCCAGATTATGGATTAATAGACATTCTAAAATAACTCTCTGTAATGCAACCGTTTTAAACTTAAGATACAACTATGTAATATCTTACCATGTTAACCTAAATTATAAATAAATATTACAATCTCCTAGCTGTAAACTTTGAACCCACAGTCAACCCTCCAGCTTTGCGGGCCAATCACAGCACTGCTCCTCGTATCCCAAGCAGGATCCACCGCTGTGCCCTCATGTAGTGAGAAAGAAATCACTGATATTTGTGCTGTTCAGTGTGCGGTTTACCATTAATAGCCAACACGTGTTTATACGGGCTCCAGGAATTAAGCGTGGTTAAAAAATAAAGTAAGACAAACTAGCCTCGCGGATTAGCTTCTTCCGTAGCGCCTTCTAGAACGCCACGTCAGAAGTCGGACCAAAAAAATCGAGCACCGAACCTCAAATTACCAGAGCGGAGTGAATGGATGAGAGATGTGCAGGGCAGGCAAAACCCATCGGTGAAGCTGTAGCAATGAATACCTTTACTCTGATAAATGTTTTATCAATTTGCTCAGTCGGCTACTAAGAAGCAGACACTTAAGTTAAATAACTTACACACTCCCTCAACTCGTCGTTTGACTAAGATAACTCAAACTAGCAATGGCTACAAGTTAGCTGAAGCTGTGCTACATTTGGACATTGTTGACACTAACTTGAATATTTAACTATATACGTCCAGTAAAAATAGCAGTACAGTAGTAGTGGTAAGTGCAGACAGTTTGTAGCAGTTGGCCCCTTCACTGCTAACGCCGTTGACTGTAATGAATGAGTGGGAAACGTTAGCATGAAGCTAACGTTGGTTAGCTTGCTAGATAAGAGGGGGCACAGCTAAAACGGCCGTTTTAGAAGACTAAAGAAAAGCAAAGTCAATCAGTGACATTAAGAAAGCCACATTATAGCATATGTAATAAAACACACACCTGCACACGACCTGCTTTTCCATATTTTGAGTAGCAGGATGATGATAGCAGCCAGATGAGAGAGGTCCCCTGTCAGTCTGAAGACGTTCATTGTCGCAGAATGAAATGACAGACTTGGCTGAGGAAGCAAACGCAGACGTCCCCTTTTCCTCTAAAAGTAGATCGTTTTGCACACTTTTAATGCTGTCTTGTGTGACGGTTTTCTCCTCCTCACGGTGGCAAACCGGGCTGCGGGATGCACAGGATTGAAAATATGGCGAGAGTGCAGGTCGACGTGGAAGGGGGCGTGAGAAAACACACAGAGGGGTTCGGATTGGACTGAAATCTGACCGACAGCACGACATGATCCGCCTACAAAAGAGGGAGGGAAACCCCTGTGGTGAAAAAGTGAGCCCTGAGTGAATTAAGGAGGGACCACAGACAGCATTGAACAGGGCATTACGTTGGGTGGGACAGGTAGGCCTACTTTAGCAGCATATTTTTGCATAAAATAACTTTATGAGATTGGTGGTCAAATGTAAAAATACCCAATCACAAGTAAATATTTAATTGAACTAAAAGTACAGGTACTGCATTGGTGGATGATGTAGGGACATTTTTCTTTCTGCTTTGAGTACAGATCCTTAACTCAAGTAAAAACACTAATACCACACTTTAAAAATACTCAAGTAAAAGTACAAGTAAAAGTACTGCATTGAAAACGTTACCATGTAAGTATAATCAGGGAAATGTATTAATGTAACGTATTAAAAGTAAATGTACTCAAAGCAGAAAGAAAAATGTCCCCTTTGACTGTTATATTTTAGATTATTATTATTATTACTACCTGCATTATTGTAAAAGCAGGATTTTACTGTTGCAATTGTTTGAGGTTGATGATTATTTTCATTATGGATTAATCCACTGATTATTCTCTCCATTAATTGATTGTTAACACTCTGAGAATTCTGAGAATTGCTGTCACAATTGCCCAGAGCACAAAGTGACACATCCACTTGTTTTGTCAGTCTAAACCTCAAAATTATTTTTAAAAATACATTAAATTAATCAAAACAGGAAATATTCATATTTGTGAAGGTGGAACCATGAAATGTTTTTACATGGAAAATGACTTAAACGATTACCAAAAGAGTTACTAAAATAGTTACAAAACTAATGTACTAGCTGTACTTGTTCAACATTTGGGTTTAATTTATAACAAAACATCATACTTGTTAAAATTCAAATGTTTTGTGTGTAAAAATCTTACTAAAGTAAAGTAACTAGTAACTCAAGTCTTCAGATAAATGTATTGAAGTAAAAAGTAGAGTGGCATTAAAAGGAAATACTCAAGTAAAGTACATACCTCTAATTTGTACTTAAGTACAGTACTTGAGTAAATGTACTTAGTTACTGTCCACCACTGAGGTACTGTCAACACTTAAGTATCAAAACTAAAAGTACTTGCTATATTACATCATTATATATCATTGGGTTGTTATTACTGATGCATTAACATGTAAGCAGCTATTTAATGTTAAATGCAAATTTTTTATACTGTTGGTAGTTTCCCTGTTGGTAGTTTAATCTGGTGTTTTCATCAGTAATTCTGTAACTAGGAATGTTTAAAACAGTAAATTCTATGGAGTAAAAAGTACAGTATTCCCTTCTGAAATGTAGTGGAGTAGAAAGTGAGGTAAAATCACAAGTAGAAGAGGTCTAATCAGGCAATAAGTTAAAGCACCTGTGTGGGTGGACTGCAGATCTGTGGGGCCTTTAAGTACAGTACCAACACATTTACTAGCACTCCTAGGGTCCCCTTAAAGCCCCAGGTCCACAGTGTGTGTATTTAATTGTAATTATTCTTTAGTAATGTAGGAATATCCATTACTGAAGGACACCTGACTCAGTTTTAAGTAATCTCAGGCGTTAAATCTAATTGGCTCTATATCATTATCATTACCATAAACACTGAGATGCCTCATGCTTATGTTACCATTCAGCTGCAAAGGACAGGAAAATAAGTAGGAACTAAGTGTTGAGGAAGTGCAATATGCCCACTTCCCATGTTGTCAACTATTTAGACAGTCTCATGCAAGGAATTATGAGATCATTCACAAGCTGTCAAGCTACAGACATGGACCAGTTGTTTGTTTGGATTTCTCTCCTGCTCACATACATGCCAGTAACACGTAAGATGTCTTTGTTATGTCTTCCTGAGTTTTATGTTCTTCAGGGAATAATGTTTTCAGGAAATTTATGTTCCACGTGAGCAATAAGGCATCACAGCTTCTGTTCCAACAACAGCACAGTGGTTTCTCTGAAACATTTTGGGCTAGAAGACGCTAAATGTCATACCTGTTGAATTTCTATGCCTGTTCATTCCAGAGGGCATGGAAGCAGCCGAGAGCAGCGAGGTGATCTTTCGGAAAACAGGACAAAACGCTGTTCTCCCATGTACGGCTAGTACACGGTGTTCGCCCAAAGATGTGAATTATGAGTGGTTTTCTTTCAAACAACACTCCCATGTTCGTCTAAACCTGAATGATATTCAACACAAGTACAGCCTGGATGGATCATCGTTGCACATTAAGTCACTACATACTAATGACAGCGCGATCTACTACTGTGCTGCGTCGTGTGGAGGACAAGCGCCCGGCAGAGAGCATGTAGGGTCGGGTACAATTCTCAGAGTGAGGGGTAAGAGTCTTTTGAGAGACGGCTGCTTGTAAAGGTCAGGCAGAAACGTTTGGATGTGTTAAGACAAAACGGCTTTTCTTTTATTTTCAGAACACGTTAAAATAATGGTGAGACGCATTCTTCTGTGGTTATCATTTGTCCTCTTGGCCATCTACAGCTCGGTATTAGTGACGCTTCTTCTAAAGAAGGTAAATGACTAAGACATTTATTTTAAGATTATTTATGTTAAGATCTATGATAGAAACAAGACTAAAAACTGCAAATGTACTATGTGCTAATGTGACATTTACCTTTTCCTCTCTGTTCTAGTATGGCTGCAAGACTGTCTGCAGGAGGAAGCGCAAAACTGTCAAGGTTTGTAGAGAAGTGTCTGGTGTTTTGCTTTAATTTGTGTGTTGAATGTTCACTAACTGGAGAAAAGACAATAGAAGCAAAAAAAGAGGAACAGGAACCAAGGCCTTTTTAAATGACTGGCCAGATAAGGCTCTTACAACACCAAGAATGACAAAGTTTGCCGGTGTCCGGCTTTCTCCAAATATTGACGTTTCATGATCGATATCTTCTCAACTTCCGAACAGAATAACTCAACAAAAAAAACACAATTCCGTGATGTGTTGCAAGAACTGTACAGCAGAAGGAACTTGGAGAGAAGCAAACAAACTGCGAACAGAAAGCGATCTCAAGCTGAGGTAAGTCTTGTTGCAGCATGTGATGGTTAGCTTTAGTCAAAAGAGATTGAGTAAGCATGGAATTTCTGCATACTGTGGCTTGCGTTAAAGCATGTGTTAACTGCCAATCTAACAGTCTGCTGTTTTATCATCATTTTTATTTGAAATTTAATCACGTTGCAGGCTCCTAGCACTGAGTCCAACAGCCAAACTGATGACGTCTATCAAAATGTCTAAGTCCTTACTTCAAGGACATTAAATGGCAGATTTCGACCTCCATCCTGACTGGGAGGAAATTCCAAAGCGCTGAAACACCTGCTGGACGGTGCAGTTATGTGACAGAGGAAATGAGCAGCCCTAACCAAGCTGCATGTTGCAGCACAACAAAAGGTCCTGAGTCACTGTTCCTTTTCTTTCAGTTTCAGCAGCAGTAGAGAGACTCTCCTGTGACATTTGACGTTAATCTAAACGTTCTGTTGATTGGAGCAACTTTTTTATTCTTCAGTGTTCAGAAATGTAGCTGAGTCACATGGTCTTCAATTTCATTTCCTCCATATATTTAGAATAGTTTGACAGAAGACAGTGAAACATAGCACTCGTAATGTACATTTTCAGTTCACTAATGAAAGTGGAAATTGAAGAAGCACGTAGGCAGCAGGGTTAATAAAGCTCTTAGAAAACTGCGCCAACTCTCTTGAGAAGACTCCAGGTGATATTTTAATAGGATATCAGTATTTTATTTTTATTAATTACTGAGCAACATTTTATATATATATATATATATATATATATATATATATATATATATATATATATATATATATATATATATATATATATATATATATATATATATATATATATATATATATATATATATATCATTCTGGGCTTAGTTGTTTACAAATGCACTTTCACTCAAAAACTTTGGAAACCAAAACATTCTGATTTAATTTGAAGTTTTTAATTATAAACAACGTAATGACACAAAAAGGCAAAGATATTACATACTACAGTACATAAGAAAGATGTTTTTTTGGTGTTGGAGTTGCCTTTTCTCTGAAAAATCATCAATTTACAATAAAAGTACAGTAAGGCAATTTGTGACCACCTGATATGTTTGTGAGGCATCTTGCTGTGTCTTATTCTGTGCACTGACTTCCATAGATATTTGTTACTTCTAAGTCAAAGCGGATGTGCATTTCTTACATTGAAAGCTGCGATATGAACTTCTGGAGTCAGCTTCTCCATTACTCTCCACTGTGCTCTGGAGCACGGCTGGAGTTAAAGCCGCAATTTGTAATTTTGCCCATGTTTATGGCCAAGATGACGGTATTTACTGCACTGCAGCCACTTATTCGTAATGTCTGATGTAAAAATTTGTTTTGTTGTTTGTTGTAATATTGTGGTTTGTTATGTATGTGAAACAGTATACCTCTTGGGACACAAGACACATTTCAGAAGAGCATTCTGATAATAAAGTGAAATCAAATCAAATTAAAGAGCTTGTGATGTGTTTTCGCCTTGATTCTTCAGGTAAAATGAAGGTGAGGCTATTATTTATTTAAATAATGAAATTAGATTAAAATTACGTGCCGCTCATTCAACCTTGGGGCCAATTTGCAGGATGATATGATTTACTCATCGAAAACAAACACCATACTCACGAGTTTCAACCCCTTTTTGTGGGTTTTACAGTTAAAATACAATCATACAATCAAAATCAAGGTGACTGAAAAAAAATAAAAAATAATATTCTTCACATTTTTGTACCTATCTTATACCATACGTTGAGGTAATGTGTGCTCTAAATAGGAGGTAGGCGGTAGTCTACTGAACGCTGCTTTGGAATTATATTTTTGGACGTTGCTGTTTTCGTTCATTGACACCCACGCCTAATTCACACTGCTAGTATGTATCCCTTCTGTTTCAGATGACACGCTTAACTATTTCTGCCAATTTTTGTAGCAGTTTTCCAATTTACATTCAGCTCCAAAGTTTAGATATTTACATTTCCTCTATTTAGAACTAAACAGTATTTTTCACATGCGTCTGAAGAATTAGTCCATTTTTTGCGGAGCACAGCCAATCTCGTCAAGGAAGAAATAAATTATCATGATCTCTGCTTTGGATGACCCTCGTAGGGGACTAGTTATGGACTCTCACTTGGCCTACAGATAAAGTAGTTGGGGGGAAAAAAACAACCTTCAAAAGTGATATGTGATCAGTCAAACTAAAGGTCGTCAATAACTCAAAGCTCGCTTTAATTCCATACCTGCAGGCAAACTCTGATTGCAGGCGATAGGAGTCACTAAGAAAGTAACGTCTCTCGATAGAGAGATAGATTATTATTTCTCTCTAAACTATCTCTAAACAGTTATCTACTTGGTGTCACCTGTCAGCACGGCAAGATGATTTACATTCGTTCAGCATAGATTTGCAGTTAGTATATATATTTAGTATATAAACTGCATGACTGTAACCCTGGCATCTCTCAAATACATTAGTCATTTACACATTACTTTCAATGTGATCTCTTAATTATCAATTTTCCCAAATACCAACAGAAGAAGTGATTGATGACAATACTGAAGTTAGCTGTCAATGTACTTTGTGTCAACCGTGTGACTGTTGCGTATGGAAAATGGCCTCCAAGCCAGGGCTTGCAGAGCAGCGACAAACATGGGCACCAGACACACCAAGTAGAACATGACACTGTGGAGGCTCTTGAAGGCGCTGGAAACAAGGGGGAATGTTGTTACAGGACAGTTATTTAAAACTGTAAAGGTGGATGTTTCTGACCTTACTGTCACCACGAAAAAAGAGGAGGTTAGACCCATTTTGAAAAGAAAACAGGGGACGTCTGAAACTGAGAATGTTTAAAATTAAAAGAGAGGTAATATGTTTCTAATGTTTTAAGAAAAGGGAATGTCATACCTTCTTAAATGAATGTTCACATATGTGCTATTGTTGTTTATTAAAGGTTTACATTAACTTTATCATCCACTTCAGCTCAAATATCTGACTCCGAAGTAAACATTTAATTGGCTCTCAATTTATGAAATTAGATTGACAGTGACCTTTGAAATAAAGGGAAGTGTTAGAGGGCTGTCTCTTAATCACTGACATTTACTCAGTTGAAGAAAAAATTGATGGGGAAATAGGAAACAGCTGTTACTTCCATTGTGTTGTGTAACGTTACATGATTTGTTTATCAGCATTAAACTTTGCTGCAGTTAAAGTTTATAGATTTGCTTCCTGATCTACCACCCAGGGAAAAACTGGTTTCCATTCCTTTAAAACTTCAAGGATCTTGAAATTTATGAGATTTCTTACAAAAAAGACTAACTTTGGAAAATAAAATGTATCTAACGATGACAGCTGAAGCTTTATAGTAACTTAGTAACTGGAATTTAGTTTTGCATATATTGACTGTGGATTTTGTTCCTTGTCACTGACATTGAGGTGCACTATGTAGGGATGTCTTAACAGCCAATATGAACAGAAGGAATGATGACAGCAAGCGAAATCTGTTTCAGTGTACAGTGTAGTGGGCTCCTGACTACTGTTTTTAAGAGACACTTAAACTATGAATCTATCCTTGAAAAGTTGCTTTCATTCCATCAACAAGACCACACAGTTTGTCAAAGTTATGTTATTGTTATATCTGTGGACAGGGAACTGTTCAGCAATGGATTATCTATCCTGAGTATGTTTCAATTCACTGAAAGTTTTAAATCCATGGCATGGATTGAAACTGAGGGTTGTATGGATATCAAATTGAATACACATGGCTGGCTTTGGGAAACGGTTGGCGGTAATATAAAGTATAAACCATTTATAAAACATGCAGATCCAAGGGTCAGCAACACCAGCTGGACCTCTTATTATTATTATTATTATTATTATTATACATTTTGTGGTGTTTATTTTTCAAGTCTAGGCGAGCAAACATTATGTGAGACTGAATTAAACTAGTGTACATCAAACTCCAAATAATGGTTACCATTAATAAAATAACCAGTGCAGAGTTAAAAGGAATAGTACACTAATCCTACATGTTGCCAGCCCAGTTCAATCAGTTTAAGATTACTTATTTGGTTTGGCTCGGCTCAAATTTTGAATCAAGTAGTAAGAAAATCTCTGTACCTTGGATTTGAGTCCCCTGCTGCGTCCTTCAGCTGCTCATATCCAAACTGGTTTAGGATATTAAGCACTATCATAGGGGCCAGAGACTGAGCCGGCTTGGTGAACAGAGCATTCGTCCCAAACACCATGGAGGAGAGGGGGGAGCTAGAGAAGGGGGAGGGTGATAAAACATTTTATGTGAGGCTTGACTGAGTTATTGGAAGTGTGCTGATAATCTTTTGAGTTTTTTTTTTTTTACCTGCGCTTGTACTTCTGCAGGTCTGTGTCGATGATGTCAGCCAACGGCAAGCCAAAAAGACTGAAGGATGCTTGGATTGTGATCCTGCATAGGAGATAATGGGTGAGAATGAAGGTGTAAACCAAAGTGGAGGGATTATACAGTGACATTATTAAAAAAAATAAATCAATCAATGTTAGAAGTTAACTTCTTACATGTTAATGGTGAGGAAAAATGCCAGGATATAGTAGTGCTGGGGACCGAGTGCTAGCATGATGGCCGCTAATGCAGCCTCCACATAGAAGGTGTAGAGGATAATCCTGTAGTAGCCAAAACCACGGAGAAGACTCTCAGAGCTCAAAACTAACAGCTGAGATGGAGACATGAGTACAAAGTAGCATATTATAAAGTAGTACATCAAGTGTTTTGAAAGCATTTCCTTGTTGGTGCATTCAGGTGCTTGCATGAGTAAGTTTGAGAGCGGGCTGCGAACAAGCACGCAATGTTGCAAGTAACAGAAACATGATCATTCAGCTCTCAAGTCTGGGATGTTTCCCACAAGTGCTACCCTGCACCAATAGTAGAGAGCTGGTGATCATACTGAACTGACAAAACACAATAACTTCCTGGAAGGGAGGAAAATGTTCTAAAAACACATGATAGGTTTACACCTACCCTTTTATAAAAATTAAAAAAACCTATGCCACTGTGGGACAATACCTGTGGACAGATGAATCCTGCACCATACATGATGCTCTTGGCCAGTGATGGAAGCACATCTGGAGGAATCAGGTGCTCAGCAAATATCATTGTAAAATTATTAAAGAAAGCTAACATGAAAACCTGGAAGAAGTTCATGAGCACAAATTGCTGGAAGTCCCTGTTGGTCAGGATTTGCCACGTCAATGTTCTTAAAACGGAGAAGGAAAATCCTGATTGATGGGGAGTCTGGTCAACAGAGTACAGTGCATCCAATTCAGTTCCTTTGTTATCAAAGCGGCTCTCACTGTGGAACCCCGTATAGAGCATGCAGCCGCAGCTCAGGATGGCAATCAGGACTGTGAAGGCTTGGAAGGCCGCAAAGTCCTCCATGTTTTTGGTCAGCACACCGCAGAACAGGACACTGGAGGAGCCAATGAGAGAAGCCACCTGGGAGATAAAAGGGAGGGGATATGAGAAGGATGTTGCCCTGTTAGCTTAGATGCATACAGAAAAAAAAGGGGGAAGCAATGTTCAGTGTACAAAGTCCTTACCTGGCTGTACTTTACAAGTCTCAGTCGGCTCTGATGGTGGCCTGAAATCTCTGCAAACAACGCACATTGTGCCAGCAGCACAAAAGTCAGCAAGCCGTCAAAAGCACACAGCGCCACCATCAAGTGTAAGCCGCTCAACCAGTCACCGGGGGCGTAGGCCTGCCAAGGGAACCAGGCTAGAAGAAAAGTCAGCGAATAGAGGGGAGCACCATACAGGATTGAGAGCCGCCGCTGAGAGCAGCAGGGCACCCTGGAATTATCTTGCATGTAGCCAAAGAGAGGGTCATTGACCGCATTCCACACCATGTACACCACCTGTGGAGATATTTATCAAAAATAAAGTGTCAAGTGGTGCTGAAGAAAAATATATTAATCCATACAGATGCTAACAGACAACTACTTTGATTATTATTTTGCCATGCCCCAAAAATGTCACTCAGACCTTCAGATACTGACATACACTTGCATAGAAAGAATATAAGATAACATATGCTCACCTGTGATTGGTGGAAAGCTCCCTCTGATATCTTGTACTTATTGAGAAAGAGTTTAACATAGTAGAAGCTGAATATGTTGTTTATCATGCTAGATCCCAGTGTAGTCATGGCATACGCCAGAGCTGCAGGATTGAGCCCAAACTTTATGAGGTGTCTGCCTACATTTATTTTTCCGGAGCGCGCACCTGAGGCAGGTTTCTCCTCCACGGCCATGACAGCTCAGGTATCTTAACGACTAAGTTACCTGTCGGTCTAACCAGCTGAAGTGAGCAAATGCTGTCTCTAGAAAAAAACTATTTAACGCTGTTGTAGTTTAGCATTGCTACTAATGACAGCTATTACTAGCAAAAATAGTGAAATTGGTCAATACTCCAGATTACAAAAGCGTCCAATGCCGAGCTCGTTCTTGTTCCAGATGTCTGATTTGCATGTCCACATGTCACGATGTTACTTCCCGTTAAACAGACTCACTAAATGTTTGCTGAAGCTGTGTCACATTTAAAAAAGATCAGTCCTTAACTGAACACTGAAGTCTTGTAAAACTCGATTTCTGTCTGTCTTGCGAGGCGGGGCTTCAAAACAAGAAGGAAACATTTGATTGGCCAGAAGAGTGCTTTTGTTCGATTTACTGCTTCGTGATTCGTCAACATCAGTGGCTGTCAACAGAAGCAGGAAGCTTTGATAGAAACATCATTTTTTGAAAATATTAAACTGTAAAGTTTTGCCTGTAATTAGACCTTAGACTGTGAATAGTATTAAAAGTTAAGCTGAATATTCGGTTATAATTAAAAGTTTATAAAAAAAAAAAAGTTGTGTTGTCGTTAATGCTAACTCTGCCACCTACCGGATGTTGGGTGAGAGTTGCCACGTTGCTGTAGACAACAGACTTAACGCCTCACACACACACCGGCAGGATGTAGTGTACGTTTCTCCGCACACGGTGGTGAACGGCGGACAACCTCAAGCTGCCAAACACACACCTACCTGTGTGTCAGGTTCCTGTCAGGTGGAGTCCTCGCTCGCCCCGCGGCTGTCAAAATGTTGACTGACGTGATTTTGGAGGAAGAGTTTGACAAGAATGGAGAGGTCTGGTACGACCCGCAGGACCTTGAACACGGTAAGAGCTGCCCCGGCTCTGTGGTCGCACCCTAAACTCTGGCTCTGTGGGCTGATGTGTTATTACTCCATAGACAGATGCATACAGGCAGCGGAATGATGTGCCATACGAAACTCAGTTATTATCTCAGCTATGGTTAATAAATAAACACCTGGAGTATTCTGGTTTCTTGCCAGTTGGACAGCATATGGGATTTCTTGATGCTTAAAATAAATGGGCTCACAGATGAAATGAGAAGTCTATAGTGCACTCTTGTGACACGGACTCACAAGAGTCATGGGGTAAAAGCTGTGGCCAGGGTTTCCCGAGGCTGTCACAGGTCCTGTGTGGATTGTTTTGTATGATATACATGCTTTTCATGCATGTTGTTTGTGCTGCCAACAAATCTTAGAGACATGTCTATAGTATATAATATAGAGTCCTTTATTATTGCCCTAGATAAATAGCAGTTAGTTAGGAAAGTCATAAATCTCAGGAAAGTAAGAAATAAATATAGCCATTAATAATAGCACTAACTTGGATAAAACTATATATTGAATATACACTGTACAAGTATGGTCCCAGTAGTGGACTGCACATAGTGATATGCGCTGTATGGCAAAGTCCTATATATCAAAATGGAATTATTTGGAAATTTGATATATATTGTTGAATATATACTCACATGAAAATGAGATAACAACCACATGAACACAGGCAGATGGTTACCTAGAACATTGGAGAGTATAGGACAGATTAACAATGATTAATTATAGAACTGAAATCACTAGTTGATAAATAGATAAGTCAATTGACGGAAAAAATTAAACAGCAACTATTTCGATAATCATTTTTCAAGCAAAAAAGCCAAACATTTGCAGGTGCCTACTTCTTAGGTGTGAGGACGTGATGCATCTGTTTGGCATGTATGAAAGTAAATTGAATATGTTTGGGTTTTGGCCGGTGGGGCAGATAAAACAAGCAATCAACTTTGTTTGGGAAATTACAATGGCCATTTTTTGTTGCTATTAAAATATAAATTGATCTGCAAAATAATAATAATTCAATGAATTACTATTATATATTTAATTGATGAATGAACAAGTAATTGACAAAGTTAGCTGACTGTCCTAGTTGCAGGGGGGAAAAATGTTAGTCTTCATGGGCAGAAGAGCCACAGTCCCGACACAGGGGCGGCCTAATTGTGCAGAGTGACAGCAACAGGCAGGAAAGACTTCCTGTAGCAGTCCACAGTGGAGCTGAATAAAACTCTGCTGTTTGTAGGTCTAGGAAAGGATTCATGATGGATAACAGTTTATGCAACACCCTCCTCTCCGCTTCCAACTCTAAGGACTTCACAGTGGGGCTCAGTGTTGTTATTTGGTTGCCACAGGGCAAACACTGCTTACTGCAGGAAAACATGCTTTAGTTCATTGCATTGTTAATGACAATGTTTATAGTAGTCCCACATAAGACATGCTTCACTTCACCTCAGAGGGCAAGTCAACACTACCATACTGGACAAGATCCAGAATTTAGGGGGTAAACTGGTCACAAGGAGATCCCATTGGATGCCTTAGATTCCTCTGTGATTCACTAGTGCCATCTACTAAAAGTTTGAGACAATGAGGTTTGTGTGTGTGTTACCTTTCACACACGTCTAGTTCAATCCGTTGCCTGTGTTTGGGCATTGAAACTGCCTCGTATCTTGTGTTTACACGTTTTCCTGTGTTTTGACAGATCTCCATTTGGCAGCGGAGCTGGGGAAAACCCTCCTGGCCAGGAACCATGAGCTGGAGCAGGCCCTGCAGCAGATGTACTCCACCAACCAGGAGCAGCTGCAGGAGATTGAGGTGATACATGTTAGGAAGGAACTAATCAGAGTTTGTTGAGACTCCAGCAGCACTAAACTCTCTCTGAGGACAATGTGTGAGCAAAACATATCCATTTCACATGTGTTTAAACAGTATATCATCTCCGCAGTCTAGTCAGCCCATATGTATCGTTGCTGCATAAATGTACTACTATGGGAGATGCTTCATTGAGAAAAGTCCACATTGAGTGATCTGAAAATGCAATTGTAATTCTGATTTTTTATTTTTTTAATTCTCAGCTTTAAACAGGACAGAGTAAAAGCTAATCCTGACCAGTCCGACCTAGTGAGCATTTGGCAGGATGTTAACTAATTATAGTAAAACTTTCACCGGCTTATTTGCCACCTTCCACCTTTTACTTGGACATTGTTCAAGGAACCAAGATCTTAATTAAGGCTTTGGTTTTGTTCTTAATAATAATATAAAACATTTATTTGTTATCTACTCGCGGAAATATTTTTGGCTGTTACGCCTGTATAACTTCATACAGCAGAGCATATATTTGGTTTACTTGTGGGTTTTCAAGTAAAGCTTATAAATAAACTCACTTAGATCTTATATTTCAGTGCTCAGACATTTCATTTTAGCGTACGCAGACAGTGCTGATCTAATTGAGTTCGAGGACATGGTTATTCAGCGGGTTAACAAAGATAAGAACCTTAATTTGTTTACTGCAGTGAGAGGGCCTGTAGCGCTAGGATTTATCGAGGTTGATATGGTAATCCCTGTACATCTTGCTGACCCTCATGCATGTGTCCTCCACTGTGTGTGTGTGTAATAGAAGGCTGTGCTGCGGTTTGAGCACATTGTAAAGTTTGGATTTGGAAAGGTGGTAAGAATGAATAGGGATATAGCTGTTAAAACGGGCTAATGCAGAAACATCTTTGTTGATAGTGAGTACATTCTTGTTCACCATCCAGTATAACTCAAAGACTTATGTTGTATTTCCATTCCATAATGTTAAGAGTCCTTTTCCATGCCCTTTATTGGCTCCTCTCCTGAATCTGAATAAAGAAATCAAATCTATAAACATGTGCAGCGCTGAAACTAACAGTTACTTTCACAACCACTTAAAATAAAATAAATAGTCTTCAAACACAGTCGAATCATATAAAAGTTAGAAAATCAGCCTGTCATTGGAGAAGACAGAGAATATACAGCATTTTTACCTGACTTTTGCAGAACTAATTGTTTAAGCTCTACACCTCTAGTTTATTTAAGACACTGTATAACTAACCTCAAACACACATATTAAGCTAAATTACTGTCATTTCCCTGTCATGATCACCAGCACCTCACCAAGCAGGTGGACCTGCTGCGTCAGATGAACGACCAGCATGCCAAAGTGTATGAACAACTAGACGTGGCCGCCAGGGATCTGGAGCAAGGCAACCAGAGACTAGTGCAGGACAACCGCCTGGCCCAGCAGAAGATCCACAGGTCTGTCTCTCAGTTATCAGTTCATTTGCCTTTTAAATTATATTTTACATAATTATTCACTCGAGCAGGGAGACGAAATGTAAGAGGATAGTATTAAGTACACTGGAAATCACTTTGATCATTTGATTAAGTGCAGAACTTAAGTGTCGTCTTTCCCCTTCAGTCTGTCAGAGGCCATTGAAGGGCTTCAGGCCTACACAGAGGACCTGCAGACCCAGGTGGAGGAGCTAAAGACTGCCCAGGCTGAGCGAAACAAAAGAGATCTGGCAGAGCAGCGACGCAACCTCAGTGCTCAGAGTGTGTCCTGTCTCAAAGAGCTGTATGACTTACACCATGACGGGTATTGCATGTTTGTCGTTGCTTGTGTTTTGCTTCACAGTGCTAATAGCAGAACTCTACAGGATCTATTTTCAGAGAGGAAATTGCATGGTAGATCCAGACAGCAAAGTGAGATAAAGACACAGTGAGTTACCGTGGGAATTTTGACATAGATTTGTAGGCGTTTCCTGCACTTTTACATGGGTGCAAAGAAACGACTGGTGGTTAAAAGGATAGTATAGTAAGAGCTCGTATCTGTTGTCTGATCTTCTCATACCCAAAGTGCACTGCTGTCTCAGCTGCTTGTATGCTGACTGGACACGTAGAGGTCACCCAGAGCCAGACCAGACCTCCTCCTTTAGACATAATCCAAAGGATGAGGAAGTTAATCCTAGCCCCATTGTCAGTGCTGCACTAATACACACATGCTACTGTTGTTGTGGTACGCTACTTGTAAAGCCACTTGTTTGATGTGCTTTGAAGAGAGCAGGAGTGTAATTTATTGTTTATAAAAGAACACAATTGTTACCCTAAAAATTGGTAATTTACACCTTCTACACCCCCTTCTCATGATGAATGTTGTACACTAATCCAAATCCAGTTGACATTTATGGGGAGCTGATGATTTAATACATTTTAGAAAATCTGCATTTTGTGATAAAATAAAAGGACAACATATAGATTAGCTGGAAACACTTGAATTGTGATACAGGTTTTTTTATGTACATAGAAAATTTGCCATAGCAGCACTCAAGGGCCTAGGTTTCATTCCAGCGGTGTGGAGAAACGGTGAAGTTAGAGGTTTAGCAAATAGCATATTATGAGTATAGTATATTAAATTATTATTATTAAGAATAATTCATTAACCCTATAATCACATTTAGTTTCCTTGATACATTATGACAAATAATCTTGAATTTCATGTAGCCTATCAATTAAAAAAAAAATTATTATATTTACTGTAAATAAAAACAGATGATGATGATTTTTTATTTAGGCTGCACATGGCCCCAACAACTTCCGGCAAGAAAATAAAAGCAAAAGCTGCGTTGCCTGAGAGGCGAAACCCAGGGCAAGAAAGAAAATTTACTAGTGCTAAAAAAAGCCTAATTGCTGTATGGTAATAAATGAAGCTTCTCTCTGGTGTATTTTGTGGACGGTATTTATAGAGGTTTTAGTGAGTGAATCAAAACAAAACTGTAGTAGGGGGGACAAAAAAATCAGATATTGAAAAGTCAGGTGGGAGATGCCTACATCAGACATTAGGCCCTTGGCCCCATTTGAATGCAATATGATTTGCATTGTGATGTCAGTGTGATTGTTTTCAATGTTTTGATCTTAAAAGTGATGTTTTCACACATGTACTGACATGGCCCTGTCCTGGCCCAGACATCTTGTCCACGATAGTCTGCATGCGGACGGACTGTGGTCACCGCAGGGTTCCTTCTGTGACCGAGACAGACGCCAAGATCCGGAGGAGGAGAATGCGGCTCTCCAGCGCTCCGTGCAGACCCTTCAGAGCCAGATAGCTGCGGAGCGGCGCCGCAGAGAGGCTGCAGAGCGGGAGGCTGAGTTGACACTCAGCGAGAACAGAGCCCTGGAGCAGCGGCTGGGCCTCCTGGCTGGTTGCCGAGTCAGGCAGAAAGAGCTGGAGGCCGAAGTGGAGCAGCTGCGGCTCCTGTGGCGCGCTGATTGTGCCAACAGGTAGGCCTGACATACTGTTTATGTGGACTAAATGTCAAATTATCTTTGCTCTGTTTATATGACCAACACTTGGGGATACAATTTACAGACTTATAACGGGTGTAATTTCTCAAAAACTTGAGACTTACGCCGTTGTGTCCACTCCACTCTCACCAGTGTCAGAAGACTGGACCAGCTGCTGTTGCCTGATACAGTATTCTTTGCCTCAGAAGAAAGACCCGGGCAGGGTGAGATGGAGGAGAAGGTAGAAAAGGATGAGGAGCAGAGAAGATACACCCGACCGAGGCGTAACAGTGACAGTGTGTTGAGAGCGACGAACCCAGACGAGATTCGCCGTGGTCACGAGCAGCTGTGTATTAGGCGGGTGGAGGCAGTGAAACAGAGGGGCATCTCTCTGCTCAATGAGGTGGATGCACAGTACAGTGCTCTGCAGGTGGTGTATTCATGTTTGGTAGAATTTATGTGTTAAATATTCAGAAAAAAAGTGTTTTTACTTTCTCAGTTAGAGAGCTTGTTGCTTGTGTCTTCAAGATGTTTTCTAACAATGCAGCACACAGCAGTTAAAAGTAAATGTACACACTTTCCTTGTTGTCTAGGTGAAATATGATGAGCTGCTGCGGCGGTGCCAGCAGGCGACAGATGAGCTCAGCCATAAAGCTGTCCAGACATCCAGCAGTCCCTTTGCGGGCAGCCGGACCCGCCGCCGCCTGTCCAGCTCAGCTGCTCTGTCCGATCTGATAGTGGTCCTGGAAGACAGCCAGCCGCCCGAGTACAAGGCTCTCTTCAACCAGATCTTCACCTGCATCCAAAAGACCAAAGAGGACCTCAGCGAGAACAGACATCCGGTCAAAGACAGGGATTCCCGGGGCTCTGCCAAATAATCGCATCATTCATCATCCTCGGACTTGCGCTCGTTTGTGTCTGTGAAAGTTTTTGACAAAGGAGAAACTTTGGGGTTGCTTTGCTATAAACACATCCAGTGGGTGCAGATGCAATAAGCCCTCTCAGTCCCTGGACGTCTTAGGTATGCTGCAATCCTCTGATGCTTTCATTTTGACACACCTATGCTTTTGTTAGTCAGCATTGTTCCTTTTATTCCACCCCCATCAAACATCAAGTGTTGTTATAAAAGTTGTTACATAAAGCAGCTGTAGAAAAATACGGAAACTATAGATGGCACAGAATTATTGTATGGGGAGATATTTATAGTTAGATAAATGAGTACAGTCAAATTCTTGACTAGTAAAAAGTACACTTGTACATGTTGCTTGATCTCTAAATTGACAAGTATTATTTCCACCTCCTGCAGTATTTATATTTATAAATTTATATAACGTTAACCCTGTGACCACTTGATCATTTGGTGCTTGGGAGAGAAATTCACACACTGATTATTATTGTTTGTGTGTTGAAATAAGTCAGAGATGTAACTGTTATGTATGACTTGTGTAAACAGAAATGTTGGAATGTTGTAATAGGATAAAAACTTGCAGCTATGTAATAACCAATAATAAGAGCTTCTGAGTTTATGATAATTAGCTTAACGGCTAGTGTGAGTTGGTTTTTGTAAGTTGGAAATAGTTGGTTCAGCAGTTGAGGGTCATTGCCATGTTACCAGAGAAATATCTGTGGACACTGTAAAACTCTTAACACTCTTAATAGTCTTTGCTTTCTGTTTTCATGTCTGTGTACAGCTTCTGATGAGTGTTTCTATGCCAGTAAGACACATAACAGCTCTGCACTTTCTATGACTGAATTACATTTTCTGTTTTATTTATTGTTTAAAAGAATTAAATTATATTTATTTTCTTTGTTGCTAAATATTCTGAGCAGATGGGTGAGCTGAGAGGAGCTGGAAGTGAAATTAAATGTACACCATGGTGCTTATTTTGTGGTTGTTAATATACTGTCTGACACAGGTGATTGAAAAAAGAATACAAAGGAAAGTGTTCCCATTTCTTTGCCTCAAAATTTTTGGAATATTTCTTCCTACGTTGACATTTCCTGCCGTTCAGGTTAGGATAAACAACAGAGAGACTTCAATAACAGTTTATACTTAAAATTAATAATTATTTTAATCTAAATCAAAACAATCGTGAAGATATTATATATTACCTCAACTGTTATTGGCTAATATTTAACTAACCTGAGTTACCGACCTGACAAACCCTTACACTGCTGACCCTGTCCACAGTGAAACTGCGAGTCTGACTTCAAAATTGTATTATGAGGTTGTCATTTTACTTTTACTTTCCATGTGATGCTCATGAGAGAGATGTTTAAGGGGCAATGCTGATGTACTAAAATACATTATAGTAGGGACATTTAGCAATGTGCTGTTTTGAAGTTTAAAGACTGCAGTAGAAGGCATAGCTGTATGATGGTGAAAGGTGTCATCCATGAAGAATAGCATGTTTTTATTGCATTAACTAGTAAAAACATTAATGCAGGTGCCTGTTGAGTTTATTCTAATGTCTAAAACACAAAGCTGGCCTCATCAGTGCATGCATCTAAAAGCGGACTTGTACGTGCTGTAGCAAGAGAGATAGAATCACTGCATAGTGTGTGTGTGCAGAGATGTTTCAACCTGTCCCGCAGTGTGTTTTAGTTGTACAATCAAATCAGCAGCATTTTCTCTCCTGCAGAATCCAGAAGACTCTCCTCCAGGCCTCCCTCCCCCAGTGTACTCAATTAAAGGGGCTTTGTCTCTTTTCGTAATTAGGCTTTACATAACTGAGATTTCCCCACGCTGCTTCAAAACTCGCCCCAAATCCATTAAACCTCCAAACAAGGGGATTGCATTGCACGCCTGATTTACTGAAGTTACATTGTCCCCATGGGCCAAAGGAAGTAAGACAGTAAGTTAGTTAATGAAGTTTTTATAGACAGTCTATGGTGGGAACTAAACTGCACACAGGTGTGTGAAGTTTAAAGTAATGATCACTGCTGCCGTAGGTGGGATTCGAACCTGAGTCTGAATGAAAGGAGATGCTTGACAAACCACCCCTTTCATCAAGCAAACTATAGAGGGAGACGTCTGGTGATGCCATAATTTGATAATTTGTTGATGGAAAAGTGCATTTGCTTGAAAAAAAGCTTTTCAGCTACCATTTTGTGTTTTAAGTTAGCAGGCATCTTTAGTTTGTTATCATTAAGTTCAAACATCATACAGGTCCGACGTACAGCCACGTCATCATACAAACGTACAACCAATCACGATATGTGACGTTACCAGCAGGCGCAGGCCCCCGAGCAGATGTGACCAAATGAGCACATCTGGCACCTACACCGTAACAATGCGAAAGACAAAGCCACATACCTCGGAAAGGAAAAACGTCTTTGAATAAACACATAGGTGTATCTAATAAAATGTCCATTCATAAAGCTACATGTGTTTACCTGAGCAGCTGATGCCGGTGTTCTGACGATTTATGCTTCCTTATCGAAAAATTCTACCGTAATGCAAATTGCTAACGTCTAGGCCTAACCCTAACCAATAACAACTCAATAGGTGTCATATATCGACAGATATGTGCAGTGCACAACCACAGGGGGGCCCCTGGAGGCCCCGTCCAACTGGAGCCCAGTCCCAGTCTCCCTCCTCTGAAGTATATGCTCACAAAGTCCAGCATAGCTGAAGCACTTTTGGGCACCCTGAAGTCTGGCCAGCTGACATAGAGGTAGTGGCACACTTCCCCTCTTTCTCCAGACTAAGGAGAGGTGACAAAGGTTTAAAGAATAGAGCAACCTATTAGACACTTTCTTTTGAACTGGCATGTATGAGCATGTGGTCCTATATCCATTCAAAGCATTATTGTCAGATTACATGTAATAGTGATATCCACTGTCATCAATGTCATATCAAGTAATCTTTTATTAGAATTTTAAGTACCCCCCAAAGTCGCTGAAGATATGTAGTCTGTGTGACTTACCTGTGTGTTGTAAAGTTCAAGATGGGATAGTTTGAAGTCCTGAAACACCTGGATGTGTGTGTTCCTGACCAAGAAGTATCCATGCTGCTCAGTCCTGCCCTCCTCAAGAGGCCAGTACTGACCACACTTGACACGCCCGCGCTCCACCAGGCTGAGACACACAATATTCCACATCTTTTTAATCACATCATAAGCCCATCAAGGATATGTTGACTAGGGGTGGGAATCACAGGGTACCTCATGAAACGATACATGATACATGTCTCACAATACCGATAATATCATGATACAGCAATTCTGCAATAATCAGTATATTGCTAGACATTCCTAAAATGATGCATCACGATATCTGTCCAATGAATAGAAAATGCCTGTGAAAAGGTTAAGTACAGGTTTTCTCTCTTTATTTACTGCAAGTCCAAATTGTTGCACAATTCTGCAGCATACGTCTTTTAGGATGTTAAACAAACAAAATACAATGTTTGGTTATCCTGGACTCCAGTTTGATTGTTGGCATCAACAGGTCCCTTAGCTGAGAGAACAAATAATTCTACGGTTACACATTTGAACTGACATTTGAATTACCACTGTATTGAGTTACAGGTTCAACGATGCCAAATGTGATAATGTGCATAACATTTTGGTTTTATAATTAATACTTTCTGTACTGTAATTTAATCAATGCTATCCAAATTGGGCCCAATTAGCCATTTTCCCTCCCCGGTGTCATGTGACTTGTTAGTGTTCTAAGGTTTCAGGTGTGAATGGGAGCGGGTGTGTTAAATTCGGTGTCATCGCTCTCACACTCCCTCATAATGGTCACTGGAAGTTCAACATCACACTTCATGGCAAAAAACTCTCTGAGGATCTGAAAAAAAAAAGGTTGCTCTACATAAAGATGGCCTAGGCTATAAGAAGATTGCCAAGACCCTGAATCTGAGCTGCAGCACAGTGGCCAAGACTGTACAGCGGTTCAGCAGGACAGGTTCCACTCAGAACAGGCCGCACCATAGTCGACTAAAGAAGTTGAGTGCACATGGGAAATGGGAAATAGAAGTATGAGTGCTGCGGGCATTGCTGCAGAGGGGGGGTCAGCCCATATGCCGCACACTGCATCAAATTAGTCTGCATGGCTGTCGTCCCAGAAGGAAGCCTCTTCTAAAGATAATGCAGAAGAAAGCCCGCAAACAGTTTGCTAAAGACAAGCAGACTAAGGACATGGATTACTGGAACCCTGTCCTGTGGTATGATGAGACCAAGATAAGCTTATTTGGTTCAGATGGTGTCAAGCGTGTGGCGGCATCCAGGTGAGGAGTACAAAGACAAGTGTAGCTTGCCTATGGTCAAGCATGGTGGTGGGAGTGTCATGGTCTGGGGCTGCATCAGTGCTGCCGGCACTGGGGAGCTACAGTTCATTGTGGGAACCATGAATGCCAACATATACTGTGACATAAGCAGAGCATAATTTTTCAATTAATCTAGATGCGTCTGGAGAAAAATAACATGGCAGAGGCTGATGAAAGGAGGGGATGAATTGAGCTGTTGAAGGCGATGCTCAAGTGGGATGAGAAGCAGAGGATAACTCCCAGCGAAATCCTTGCCCATCCCTTTATTACCATGATGTGGGAAACTACCTATTGTGCCTGATTAATTGAATGTGTTTTCACAGCACATGTGGCACATGCAGGCTGACATGCAGGCAGGAAGTAGAACTGCATCAGATGCTTCTCTTGGTGGAAGAGGACAGTTTGGTCTTGCTGCAATGTGGACAACATTGCAGAGTGAAGATCAGGTCTGAATATTTTGTAACAAAACACCTGAGGACTTGCTTTCAAGAGTTTACCTGTAAAGTCTTTGTAGATCTCTATGAGGGCAGCAAGGTGGCTCAGTGTGTAGCACTGTGTTATCACAGCAGAAGTCAGGACACTTTCGTTTTCCGTGTGGAATCTGCATATTCTCCCCATGTTAGCATGGGTTTTCTCTGGGTGCTCCAGTTTCCTCCTCATTAGGACTGATCGGAGACTGTAAATTTCATGATTCCAACTGAACTGAAAATATGGTGTACATGTTCATGCTGCACATTTAATCTTGAAGAGGGAAACAAAAAAACTTTTCCCAAAATGGGATCAAACAACAACCTTCTAGGTGAGAGCCCTGCCCTTTAACTGAGCTAACTGAACATCTTGACAAACAGATACCATTTTATGTCTTCCACCATCTAATGGATGAATAAATTGCTCCGATACAAAATTTGTTGACCCCTGCTGTATATTAGTTCTTCTTCTTAGAACGTACGTATTCAACATATTGATGAGCGTCTACACTGCCAGAATTCTACACCAAGAAAAAGAAGAATGTAGTGACAAAACATACACTGTAGCACTGTTTGTCTGTTTTCAGCTACTGTGGAAACATACCTGCGTAACATGGCGACGTACATGTAAGGGGGGAACCGCGGTTATGTAGATATAAATGGCTCGTTCTAAGGTAATAAAAACATAATGGTTCATTATATAAGGTCTTTACACACCACTGAAAACACAGTTATGGATCTTATATTGCATTTCTGTCAATCAATCCTCAAATATTACACACTGGACCTTTAACATTTTAGAAATGGGTTACAGTGCCTTGCGAAAGTATTCGGCCCCCTTGAACTTTTCAACCTTTTGCCACATTTCAGGCTTCAAACATAAAGATATAAAACTGTAATTTTTTGTGAAGAACCAACAACAAGTGGGACACAATCATGAAGTGGAACGAAATTTATTGGATATTTCAAACTTTTTTTAACAAATAAAAAACTGAAAAATTGGGCGTGCAATATTATTCAGCCCCCTTAAGTTAATACTTTGTAGCACCACCTTTTGCTGCGATTATAGCTGTCACTTGGGGTACGTCTCTATCAGTTTTGCACATCGAGAGACTGGAATTTTTGCCCATTCCTCCTTGCAAAACAGCTCGAGCTCAGTGAGGTTGGATGGAGAGCGTTTGTGAACAGCAGTTTTCAGTTCTTTCCACAGAT